TCCCCTTTTATCCTCTTTGGCAGCAGGCCTGGGCTCACTTCCCCAATTCTCACAACACAGACACATAAACGCACACCGTTTCAGCCCAACAAAGGCAACCTGCAGAGAGACAGAGAGAAAGAGAGAGGGGGAGAACGCTGTGAAGCTTTGGTTTGTCCCTGCCTACATATCCACTTACAGCATTTAGTCCAGGGTATAGGGGGAGAGGGAGATGGAGAAAAGCAGTACGTGAGTGGCTGGGTTCAAGGGCTCTAGGAGAGAGACGGAAGAGGGAGAAGGAAGGGGGGTAGAAAGAGGTAGGGAGAGGATGGTGGTGGAGAATGTCCAGGGACGAGAGAGTGGTTATTCCCTCTCTTCTGCACCCTCCTCTCCCCACACACCAGATAATAGAAGGAGAGCTAAGAGCTAGGGTACTGTTGCCATTGAAACACTTCCAAAGACAGTGGAAGAAGGGAGGAAGGTGCCCTGCTAAATTAACCCCTGGGATGCCTGGGAATAGAGGTAGGCTTTCCTACATTGCTGTGCGTGTGTATAGTGTGTATGTACAGTATGTGTGTGAGTGTGTGTGTCTCTTTCCACTGTCACTGAGAAAACACATCCCATTTAGTCCCTTACCCCTACCCCCTGTCCCATTATGCTCACCCCTTCGAACCATTACCCCCACCCCCTCTCACAGCCAATGACCTGGGGTGACACTGACGCACTAACATTTAATATTAAATGGCTCTAATGTTTGCCCCCCCCCCCTTCTCTCTCTCTCTCCCTTGCTGCCCTTGGTTCCTTGTTGTTTAACACGCTTCACTGAGCAGCCAGGCACAGTGGCACTCTCCTGTCCCCTGTCCCTCGCCCCAAACCCCCACGCCCAGCCCCCTGTCTCCCCCAGTCCCCCCTCCTGCCCTAATGGCTCTGTTAGCGTCATGGAGGTGGGCTTTTCCTCTCCGATGAGCAGCCAACTGGAAAAGTGGTTCAGATATGTCAAAAGAAGTCAAAATCAGAGAGAGGCCAGGAAAACGCAAGACGACTCC